ATTTTTGAACTTCATTTTATAAAGTTGTGATTTGTTTAAAATTTCAGTGTAAATTAACTTCGTGATAAAAAGTCGTACAAAATAAATCGCTACTATTCATATACTTTTTTATTCTTATCAGCTAGTTGTAAAAGGTGTTGATTTTTTTTGTTATTTTGCTAATAATGAGATAAAAGATAAAATTAGTTAAAAAATAACTGAGTTCCTATTTACATACATTTCAGAAAAAATGCTTTCCTTTTCTTTTTTTTGTTAATATTATCAAATTTGCATTAATACATAAAAAGAGTAATGGGTATGTGTACTTATATACTTTACATTAAGTTCACTTTTACTTATAGTAAGATATAATATATTTGAATTAAACGAAGCATAAATACTGTTATGAATTCATAAAATTTGTTATTTTATGTCAGGTTGTTTTTGTTATATATATTACTACATAATTTAGCTATAAATAGATAGAAATAATTCAAATCATAAGGCTATAAAAATAATACTATGATTCTATATTCGCACATGCAAATGTATGGTATGCCGCATTTATATTAGACTTGTTCTATTAATAAGACATTACTGGAACTAATTATTATTTATAGAAAGTAAATATAAATCTAATCAAAACCGTTTGAAACTCAATCGTTCATTAATTAGAAATTTGTCGCTTATCGAATGTAATCTCAATTTTAAATCTTATTAATAAATATTCCAAAAGAATGTTGATCAATGAACATTCTAAAGGAATGCATCAGAAAATATTTGCATTAAATATTATCAAACATTTTTCCATAGCGACATAATTCAGTTATTAAAATATAAAATTGTTGCATTCTTTATTTCAGTATCATGTCAATATGAAATTACGGAATCGGATACTACAGAGCAGATTAAATGCAATGATGCATTTTAAGAAATTAATTGTGATTAAATTATGATGTGATTTTCATAACAATAGAGTATAAAAGATTTGTAAACTTACTTCTTTAAAATTTTTGTTATTTTTGTATTTGAATTGTACAATAAAATATGTATAAAAACTATGTATATTATTAACTATAAGTATATTATTAACTTCCCGTAGGGTAAGTTATAGTAATCGCAAAAAATGAAGTTCTCGTCGACGATTTCGAGAACACGGATCAACAAATTTGAAAGATTCAAAAATAAAAAAAACATTTTATGAATCTTTCACGCGCTTCCATATTTCATATCGCAGCTAACACACCGCGATTGCTTTGAAAAAAAGTTCAATATTTCCAAAATATTTCAAAGTATAAAAAAAATCAAATTATTCTAAAAGGTCAATTTAAAAAAAATTAAAATCTTATAAATCAAATTTTTCAAGGGTTCTAAAAGAAAATTGAATCTTTTTTAAAAATTTTAATTTTTGGTACGAAAAGTTCCAGCAATTTGCCTTAATGCTCGATGCCATGCACCACTAGCAGTGGCGTAGGAACCAAATTTTTGATGGGTGGGCTCGTTTTTTTTTTTTTTTGATAGGCAGCCCAGTGGGCTCGTTTTTTTTAGAGATATTACTCCATATAATTTTTTGAAATTGATGGGTGGGCTGAGCCCCACCATCAAAATTCATGGGTGGGCTCAAGCCCACGCAGCCCACGCGGTTCCGACGCCACTGACCACTAGTTTCATTATATTACAATATTACAAACTGCGTTACAAAAAGTATACAATTATAATTACACTATATGCACTTTTCGATATAAGCACTGTACAGCTGCCTATAAAATTAAAATGTTATGATAATTTGTTAAATAAGTTTTTAAGCATTTATTCTGAATGTTTAATGAATTTGAAAATATAATAATCCTATCTTGTTGATCCTATTATTATTATTATTTAACAAATGATAAAATTTAATAGTGAAGAGACTTGTTACAAATTCATTTCTTTACAGATAAAGTTTCCAAATCATACTCATACCTCATATGACTTGATTTTATCAACAGTTATTTTTGAACAACCCAATGGTTTTATAACTATATTTGATATAGCTTTTTTTTAAATATATTTCTCTATTAGAAAAGAGTTGTTTTTTAATTATTCATCTTTATTTTTAATTGAAAATTCTTTACCATACTCGTTTAAAAATTTAGTTTCAGTCGTTTTTGTTTTCATTTCCTCATTTATTTTAACATCAGCAAATTTCCGGAATTTGCCTATCAAAATAATGCCAAACACTTTGATATTTTATAATAAAACCATTATTTATTTCATAATTATTATAACATTTTTTACAAATAGCGTAGCATTGTGCTCATAATGAAAGATCTATTTAAATTTAACGGATGTTAATACTCTTTTATCTGTGTAGATATGAATTATGATATTATAAATTTTGTTTATTTAGTTCTGCTGGTATAAGTGATTATGATGTAAAAATTTGTAAAATATATAATTATGTTGGTAAAATTTTTATATATTTAGAAAGTTCTATCAATAAAAATGTATATAAACAAAGTTATTGTTAATTTGTATTTTTAACTGTTAAATGAAATATCAGACACAATTAGATTGCAGTGATAATTATATTTTGATGTTATCTTTATTGTGGTAATACATATTTTACATTATTTTATTGAATGTTCATTCTATTAGTGAACACAACTAGGCATTTATATTTAAAAGCATAATCATTTTTTACCTTCAATTTTTCTGCAATCAAATGTAAAATGTAAATGAATTTAGATAAATTACTTTATTTTTTAAGAAAAATATTGAACTTTCATATTTCTTTAAATTTTAGCGATTAATAATTATTATATGAAGGAGTATAAGTTTTTCACTGTACCCCAAACATTGCGTAAGCTATTAACTGCATCTTAAAAATCGATTAAGACATCTTCAAAGGAAATTTTCCGAAGAAAATCCAAATACTAATTTGGCAACAATATTAAAAAAATGTTGTGTTTTTTTATATAATGAATGAAATACTTTTACGTTTCCTAGGCTTAGATGTTTATTGGCCCAGGTATGTCGAGCTCTATAACGCCTGGTTACAATACCGACAAAAACTTCCGCTTTTTTCCTGCCCCTTGTCCCCAAAGAAACCACCGTTAGGCATTACTTCATAGGAGGAGGTTATAGAATGCTATGATTCTCTCTCCTAATGATACTATCCTCTTAATTAGTGCCATTCGCTCTCCTTCTTTCTAAGTAACGTAAGTCAATGAGAAGTTAATTCAAAAATTTAAAAACCATTTGTTAACTTCACTTCTAAGTTATAGTAATCATCCAAACATTCGAAAATGATTTTTTTTGCCTATCTTCGCGTTTCAAAGGTTTCTGAACATTTCGGCATAGCTTAGAAAAATTGATGTGTGTGTGTGTTTTTGTTTGAATACAATTTTTTGTCAATGTTTTTGGGCGCACGGATTAACCGGTTTGAATGATTCAAAAAACATTCGTTACGATGGGGAGAAGTGCGATGATTAGTTTTTGGCAAAAGCAGATCCAGCCATTCCGGAATACGAAGCTAAATATGCAAAAAATGGCAGTTTTCGAGAGAACTAAGAATCCGATTTGAACGATTCAAAAACACTGCTTGTGTTGATGAAATAATTGCTATTAGATTTTTTTTTAATTTTTTTTTCAAAAAAATTTTTTTTGTAAATCGAAAATAATTTGGATGTTATTTTATTTCTGGCTACAGTTCTAAAGATCGCTTTACTTTAAACTAATTTATTCGCTCACTCACTTTGAACTATAAATATATATTTATACTTTAAATAAATAATTTTAACTTTGCAATTTAGTTTATTCAATTCTTATTAATATTAGACAATGTGCTTCATTTTAAGTTATTGATTAAGTTAACTTAATCAAAATAATTTTGTTTATTTACTTTTCTGTAATATACAGATATAAAAGTCATCGTGCAATTCATAAGCTCTTATATTTTGCCTATAAAATAAAAATAATGAAAGTTACAGTATTAAAATCTATTTGAAAACATTTAATTTTCCTCAAATAATTCGTTAGGGGAAGTTCCAGCAATTTGCCTTAAGGCATGATACCAAACAGTTTTAACAGCAGTTCGAACAAATAAGACCATTATGAGTCTACTCATAGAAAAAAAGATCACTTATAAACACACACATAATTATTAATAATTAAGCTAAATTTTATAAACCAAATAGTAGTCGCTCCAATAATAAATATTCAATAATACATAAATGGTTTGAATATTACAAGTGGAATCTGTTTCTTAAGCATTCTAAAATCTGGTGTTTCTAAAAGTCCAGCGACTATAATATCTGGATGATCTTCAGGCTTTTAAAGTCCATATCAAGCGACTTTGTGATATGATATTGTAAAGATAAATTGCTTAAATAATGAGAAGTAGAATCTTTTTCTTAAGGCTTCTAAAATCTGGTGTTTCAAACATTCTAGCCACTGATATGTCTTCGAAGCTTTTAAAGTCAATATTGAGCGACTACAATATTCTGTTGATATTCAAGCTTCTACAAAGCCTGTATATATAGAAACATCATCAATGATCTTTCTTGGAACTTTAGATTGAAACAATATTAGACTTGGCCATTAAAAGCCATCTTATGAAACTCGATATAAAAAAGACTGTACATGAATTTTAATGTTTTTTCAACAAGATATGTATACAGATTTAAGAATTATCTTATTTGTAATGAAACTAAATAAATAAAATCAATTTCTCTATAAAGATTATTTATTTATGAAATTATATGATAATAAAATAAAAACTAATATAATATAAATAAATGTTTTTCTCCATATCAATTTCAATTATAAAAAAACAAGTAAAATTTAAAAGTAATAAATAAATAAAATTTGGGAATAATAGAAGTAATATTGAAAAGTCAATAAAAATGAAAATCAAAAATAATTACTATTTAAATATAAATATGAATTGTGAAAAGCTGACCACAAAATAAAAAAAATCACAATTTCCTGAACTAACGTTAGTTAGTTCTCGAACAGCTGAAGGGTACCCTTATTAACTTTCTTTTTCATTGTATTATTCAGTTACTTGCTTTTGTTTCATTGCATTAATCTTCTTGTTTTCAACCACATTACTTTTTCTGTTGCTTCGTATGTTAAATTTAATATTTGGTATTCCAAGAAACATCTTTGTTCTTCACTGAACCAGTCGAGCAGTTGCCCTAAATGTTGCAGAAAGGGATTGCGCCTGCTAGTGTTTTGGTTATAATCTTTCAAAAAGTTTATCAGTATGATTTTCAACATTTTGTCTATGTTGATTTCATTTGATTTTTTATTTCGTGCCTTTCTTAATAAAGCAAGAGCATGCAATGCTCTTTTCTGTAATAAATAAGGAGATCAAGCAATTGAACAAAAGAAAGATGAAACTAAAATCTAATTTGATATTACCTTAATTTCAATAATAGTATTTATGGATCTCGGATAATCCTTTTCAAGTAGAAAATGGAAATATTTGTATCCGTACCAATGTGATACGTATATGTCACTCGATCCTAAAATTATGCATATGTGAATTTAAATGTACATTTATAATAATGACATTAATTTGTGTAATTCATGAGTAGTATGTCATGTAAATATAATGACGGCTATGGATCAATTTGATTCGAAATGCAAATAAAGTATATTTTATTTGTATAAAAACTATTACCTGTTCCTCCTCTACGAGAATCCATTACTCTCTTCTTTTCTCTTCGAAAGGATGCCAGAAGACTAGCCATTTTTTGTTTCACGTCACCAACGTTTTTTTGAAACGTCTCAGCGATTTTCTCCCACGCAGCTTTTTTTAGTTTTCTATTATAATATTCTGGGTGCTTTGGATTCCAGAGAATATTTTGTTCTTCGTATTTTTTAATCAAAAGTATAGTATCTTCTCCTGACAAATTCATTTTGGCAACAAAATTCACGGTAGTTAATACAGAGTATAGTTTCACAATGTGATACTTTAACTGATAGACTTGTATTTTTATACAAAAATGGCGCCAATATACTTGTTTATCTATAAATGGCGCGTCCAAATGGCGCGTCCAAATTGCACGAATTATGCGCCGAATAATGTTCGAAGCAGTTGTGCCAATAGTTAAAGAATACGGTGTGAAGTGCGCAATTTTTGAAGGGTGATAAATAAACAGCGCGAAAAGTTCTATAAACTAACTGAATCATGGGGAGTTATATCCGAAAAAATCCAATTATCATTATGCAACAGTTGTAAAAATTATTAAAATAAAAAAAAACATGATGCAAAGCCATTGTTTTTATTTATCTATAAACTGAATTATATATAAAATTATTATACAAATATCCCTCGTTTTACACGGAAGATTCGTTCATGATTCGTTCCAAAAAAAAGCGCGTAGAAAAACTGTACTAAACAAAAATCACTATGTAAAAGCTTTTTTTTATCAGTTTTTAATATGATGAATAACAATTACATTGAATGAACAATAAATATTAATATACTTTATATCTTTATATCATATATATTTAATAAATTAATAAGAAAATTAATTTATTTCAATAATAAAACAAAAGTAAAACTAATTGGTATTGGTATTTTGCCTTGAGACAAGTTACATGAACTTCCCGATATGTGTAAATAATCGACTTAATAAAAAATAAATTAATTTATGAGTGATTAAAGTATTCCGAATGAATTTATTACATATATAATTAAGAACGAACGAACACGTTAACTCGGAGTATTTTGCAAAAGCAAATTTTCAAAAATCAATAATTTTTATAATTGAATCATCAGTTTCTGTTAGGATTTTAATGGTTGAGTATGTTCATTATAAGATCATCAAGTACTCTATCATCGTTATATCAAGTAAATCGCCTAATTTTAATTTTAACAAACGTAAAAAAAAACTATACTCATTTTCTCAAACTTAAAACATATTCTAAAGAAGCGTCAGCAGCTTGCATTAACACGTATGCAACTTAATTGGTTAATGGGCTGGAAATCACAAGTCACAATAGAAAATAAACTCCTAATATACAAGACAATTATTAAACCGATATGGTCCTACGTCCTACAACTATGGGGTGCGGCCAGTAAATCGAACATAACTATTCTAAAAAGGTTCCAAAATAAAATTTTGAAAGAAATCGTGAACGCTCCAAAATACGTTCCCAATTGGTTGATACATCAAGATCTCAGAATTCGAACTATAGAAGAAGAAATTTGCACTGATTTACAAAATATAACATAACATCTAAGAAGGTGCTATCGCAGGATAGCGATCCTTCTCACGCAGTCAAATAATATATAACTGTAACAAATGTAGCTGAATGTACTTTGTATAGCTTGCTATGAAAAATAAATAAAAAAAAAAATTCTCGAACTTCGATTCATTTTTAAAATTAAACTACTTGTCGTAAGGCCGACATTTTTCAGTAAGTTCTATTTTTCAGTAAGATTTTCACCTAAAACTAATCAGGATCATTCCTAACTAATATCTTTCGAATAGTTAGAATTTTTAATATCGATTCGGTAGTATGAGCTTAAATATGTGGACGAACACTTTTTTCCAAATTACAAAAAAACGGCTTGGCAGATATCGTCGCGCAAAACTGACAAACGATAGTCCTCATTGAGATGGCTTTTCAATTTCTGAAATCGGTTCAGGCGTTTTTGAGCAAACGTCGATGAAATTTATAATGTTGACAAACGCCAAAAAAACGATACTAATTTTTGCAAAAACTTTGACGAATTTTTAAAATTAAACGACTTGGCGTAGGACCGTAATATTTTAGCATGATCTATAAGACTATGGTATCTACCGTAAAAAAATAATCATAAAAATCGTCTAAAATTTTTTTCTAACACTTTATTACAAGAAAACGGCGCGGCCGATCTTTACCAAAAACTAATCAGGTCGATTTCCAACCAATATAAATCGAACAGTTTTTGAATTTTCAAAATCGATTCAGAATTGCGGGCTAAAACGTGGACGAAAAAATTTTCATTTACATTAGAAATTTACGATTTACAAAGAAACGGCTCGGCCGATCGTGGCACAAAACTGAGAAAGGCTAGTCCTCATCGAAATGCATCGAATGGTTTTTAAATTTTTGAAATCGGTGCAGCCGTTTTTGAGAAAACGTAAATTTACGGCAAAAAATCTGTTCACACACACATACATACTTTTTCCAAATTTGGGTTCATTCGATTCAGAATGGCTTGAAACGTCGAGAAAACATAAAATTAGCAAATCGGTTATTTTGATGAAAACATAAACTTCTCCTTCGGGAAGTTAAAAATGTTTTTTCATCTGTCAAATTATATATACAAATTCTACAGATAAAAAAGAGAATATAAACTTGTAGAACATGAAAGTGAATGGTTGTAAATGAATGCATTCAAATTTATTTTTACTTGTGACATGTAATAGTTAGTTTTAAAATTTAAAACATCGAGTGCATTGTATTGGAATTATTATAGGTTATGTGATGCTTTTTAGCGACCCTGAAATAATAATGATTTGTTTTGCATAAATTTGTTTAAAAAATAGGCTAATAGATATATGCTAGCATTTCTGAATAAAAATTTAGTACTAAACATGAGAATCTTTTTATTAATTTATTTCATATAAAATAAGACAAATAACGGGATTTCTTTTAGCATATAACGCGTCAGAATGAAGGCGTAGACAAAAATGTTACATTTATAATTTAAATTATTCTTTAATTTTACACAAATAATTAAAGCAAATAACTATTCAGTGTTTCAAAGACATAAACAAAATGTCTGATAACCCAAAACTTGTACTCCTTTTCAGTGGCAAAAGAAAATCAGGCAAAGATTATATTACAGGAATTATTCACAATTATCTGGGTAAAGATAAATCTGAAATAATCCGTATTTCACAACCTATAAAAGCCCACTGGGCTGCTCAAAAATCTCTAGATCTGGAACAACTATTAAGCGATGGAGAATATAAAGAAAGCTTCAGAAAAGATATGATAGAATGGAGTGACCGAGTTCGAAATGAAGATTATGGTTATTTTTGTAAAGTGGCTTGCCAAGCAATCTCGAGACCAATTTGCATAGTTAGTGATATCCGCAGGAACACGGATATAAAATGGTTTATTGAAAAATATGGTGCTAAAGTTATAACAATTAGAATTAATTGCAGTAAATGCATTAGAGAATCTCGAGGTTGGAAATTCACAGAAGGTGTTGATGATGTTGCATCTGAATGTGATTTAGATAATTATGAAAACTGGGATTTTGTTCTTGTTAATAATAATGAAACTACAACAGAGGAATTGATTCAACCCGTTATAGATTTAGTTAAAAAGTTCATGTAATAATAATATGATATACTATATGAAACAATCTGAGCATATGTAATAATAAGTATTTTTTATAACAAACTAATAATAAATTTTGTTATGGATTCATATTATTGTTTATTATGATTGACTGTCTGTTCTTTAAATATTATTTTAAAGACGAGTTTGCAGTTTATATATAATTTTGTGCAACAACTTTCAAATAATATTTTAGTAAAGAAAGTCTAACCGATTTGTGGTACAATAATGCTGAACAGTTATTACTGATTTTCTATTATTATAAATTAATATATTATACCTAATTAAAAAGACAATATTTTGTAGCATACAAAATTATCTTGTTGGATTAAATATTTTCTTATATTTTTATGTGGTGATTAGTAATTAGTATTCTATTGCTATAACAAATGCCAAAAAGACTTTTGCATAAGAAATTAATATTTTTCCACAGACTTTTTGCAATTGATAAGATACATATAAATATATGTATCTGCTAATTTAAATATATTCTACAAAACTTTAATTATAAATCGTCAATATTTCAGATATGGTGATTCATAATTAAGTATTTTAATGTTTCTCAATTATGAAAATTCCTTAAATTACTACATATTTTTCTAATTTTACCTGAAATTTAAGATACAAAGTTCTGCTGTTCGTACTGGAATAAATTTGGCACTTTATCATCTTTCATTAGTAATAAGTTTAGATGTGCCATCAAATCATTATGTTAAAAATTTTGTGGATTGTCTCGAACTACAAAAAAGAAAGGCTTTAAGATTATTTTCAAACAGTATACCCATAAATATAACTATAGTAAAATGATAAAAGTTATTGATGTATATTGGGAAGTAAATTGTTTGTTCCAAAAACATATCATACATTTAATAAGAGGTGAGAGAAAATATCGAAACTGCAGGCTCAATGTTTAGTTTAGGCTGCTGAAATTTGCCACCTTGCTCATGAATGAAAATTTTTAGTAAAGATATAGATAAACATAATCGAAATGGTGCAAGAGACTGTGGTCGAAGCTCCTGTAGCAAAAAAGGAAGAAGAGTCTGATGCTTATTTATCTATGAGCCTGTGGAAACAGAATTGGTAATTTAAATTATTAATGGAGTTTATAATTTTATTATGTACTTTATAAGTCAGAGCTTCAGAAATAAACAAACAATGTATGAAATGAGCTATGGAAATGAGGAATCATTTCACTTAATCAAAACTTTGTATGAATTATTGAACCATTTGAACTGATGTAAAGCAAACAATTATGAAATTTTAATAATAAAGCAAACAAAATTTCACATTTAAAAACACAATTTTCAGTTAGCAAAGTAACTGGTTTGGTTAAAACAACACTAAACAAATACAGCAACCTAGAAATGCATTTTAGCTAGGATAAGAACTAAACACACATGCAATGAACTTAGGTACGAATCAAGGAACGAAGTTCGCATACATTGGCAAACTTGCAATGATACTACTAACTTCAGAGTAATTTGTTTGTCGTCGTGACAGCGCATTTTGTTTCTTTATGTTTGAATGCCTTGTAAATGCTTTGACGACGTACATCGGTGTTTTATAACCTGATTTCATGAAAAGTTGCTAATCATAATAAGTTTATTTTTGTGTTGACTTAAAAAGATAGTGAAAATGGTGCAAGAGACTGTGGTCGAAGCCCCTGTAGTAAAAAAGGAGGAAGAGCCAGTGGAAACTGAATTGGTAATTTAATTTTATAATAAAGTTGACAATTTTATTATGAATATCCATGCAAATTAAATAGAAGTGTTATGGCTACAAATTTTTAAAATTGATATTTAGCATGTAAATGTATTGATTTCTTTATTTTATTTTTTTACAGTCTGAAGAAGATAAATTGTTGCAAGATGAGTTGAATTTAATGGTTGAAAGGCTTCAGGTAAACATTGTCAATATTTTTTTTCTTTTGTCTAATATCAAATGTTTTATTTATTTCATATCAAATTGTTTATACCATTTTTCTTGTTCACAGGGATCTGATGCTAGCCAATATCTGCCTTCACTGGAAAGTTTGCGCAATCAAATTCGTGCAAGTACAACTTCCATGACATCAGTTCCCAAGCCTCTTAAATTTATGAGGCCCCATTACAGCACAGTTAAAGAAGTTTACAACAAAATTGTTGATCAACCAACAAAAGAAATGTGTGCTGATGTCTTATCGGTTCTTGCAATGACTATGGGAGATGCAAGAGATTGTTTAAAATACCGAATGCTGGGGTCAGCTGATCAAATTGGAGAATGGGGACATGAATATGTGCGTCATTTATCTGGTGAAATTGCCGCTGAATGGGCCGAGTTGCCAGAAAATGATAATAATGCTTTGAAAGAAAAATTAGTGCAACTCGCTAGTCAAATAGTACCTTACAATATGTCACATAACGCTGAGGCTGAAGCTTGTGATTTGTTGATGGAAATTGAACATCTAGAAATGCTTGAACAATTTGTTGATGAAAGTGCTTATCCAAGAGTTTGCTTGTATCTTACCAGCTGTGTGCCTTATGTGGCAGATCCAGAAAATACTAATTTATTACTTACTGCATTAAAATTATTTAGAAAGTTCAATCAGTATCCACAAGCTTTGCGTCTAGCTATGCAACTCAACGATTTGCCACTTATAGAGGAAATATTTTCAACTTGTCCTGATTTGTAAGTTTAAATAACAATACTATTATCTTAAACAAATATTTTTATATAATTTTATTTTTAAATCTTTTCAGATCTGTAAAAAAACAATTGGCATTTATGTTAGGACGTCAACAAGTGTTTTTGGAATTAAATGAAAATAGCAGTGACTATGATGATTTAGTTGAAATTATGTCTAATGGAAATCTGAATAACCACTTTTTAAATTTAGCTAGAGAGGTAGTTAATATATCAAAATATTTTGTCTGCTTTGAATTAAGTAATCTGAATTTAATGCTTTTATTGTCTTTAGTTGGATATTATGGAACCAAAAACTCCTGAAGATGTTTACAAATCTCATCTAGAAAATTCTAGGCCTCCTTTTGGAGGTGGTCAAGTAGATTCGGCAAGGCAAAATTTGGCTGCCAGTTTTGTTAATGGTTTTGTGAATGCCGCCTTCGGCCAAGATAAACTTCTCACTGATGATGGTCAAAAATGGTTATACAAGAACAAAGAGCATGGAATGTTAAGTGCTACTGCCAGTTTGGGACTTGTTTTACTCTGGGATGTTGATGGTGGTCTGACACCAATTGATAAATATTTATATTCAGCTGAAGATTATATTAAATCTGGTGCCTTGCTGGCTTGCGGCATTGTGAATTGTGGAGTTAGAAATGAGTGTGATCCAGCTTTGGCTTTGTTGTCAGATTACATTTTACATAATACACCAGTTATGAGAGTAGGAGCTATATTAGGTATTTTTTATTAATTATATATTTGTTTGAATTGTTGCTTTTAAGTGGTCTTTTATTAAAGGTATAATGATGTATAATTTTTTTTTCTATAGGTTTGGGTTTAGCTTATGCTGGTTCAAACAGAGAAACTGCATTAAGTTTATTAGCACCTGTCTTTAATGATCCAAAATCTACAATGGAAGTCATTGGTATGGCTGGTTTGGCTAGTGGTATGATAGCAGTAGGATCGTGCAACTCTGAGGTTACTGAGCTCATAATTCAAACTTTAATGGAACGTAGTGAATCTGATTTGAAGGATACATATATGAGGTATTTAACCTATTCCTTCTTAAATAATCAATTTTATTGAGTATTTAATCTTTTAGAGAATATTTGAAGAACTAAATTATTTTAAACTATGTACTATTGTAGAAACAATGTTTCACAAAATACTAAAACATTCATGAATTGAAAGTATTCAAGAACTATTCATCAATAATTTTAATGGTAATGATTACATGAAAATTTCAAAACAACAAACTAAATTTTCAGATTTTTACCTTTGGGTCTTGGCCTAGTATACTTAGGTAGAAAGGAAGCCGTAGAAGCTATAGTTGCAGCTTTAGAAGTAATCCAGGAACCGTTCAAATCAATGGCTGTTACTATGGTGGAAGTTTGTGCTTATGCAGGAACTGGAAATGTTCTGAAAATTCAAGAATTGCTTCACATTTGTTCTGAACATTATGAAAGCACAGAGGAAGAAAAGAAAGAATCAAAAGATAGTAAGGTAATTGAAAATTGTCTATTTATTTATATGGAAAATTAATCTATTTTACATTCTTTCTTTTTCTTCTAATATTATGACTTTGTTAGTTTCATATGTGAATTCAAGACAGAAATATACAATATTTATTTAATATTACAGAAAGATTCAAAAGAATCTAAAGAAAAAGAAGATAAGGAAAAAGATCTATCACCAAGGCAAGCAGTGGCCGTTTTAGGAATTGCTCTTATTGCAATGGGCGAAGAAATTGGCAGTGAAATGGCATACAGGACATTTGGGCATTTGGTGAGTAATTTCCAATCTTTTTTTATAAACAGATCTCAACTTTAGCAAAGAATGTCTTCATGTGTATTTTATTCTTAGCTTATGAAGTCTTTGGGATTAGGAAGTCTTTTAATCAATTAATATATTCTTCCAGTTGCGGTATTGTGAACCAGTTATCAGAAGATCAGTTCCTTTGGCTCTTGGCTTGATCTCAGTATCAAATCCAAAACTTAATATATTAGACACATTGAGTAAATTTTCTCATGACAGTGATTCAGAAGTAGCTCATAATGCTATATTTGCTATGGGATTAGTAGGTGCTGGAACAAACAATGCCAGGTAAACCTATTTTGATATCAGTCATAATCGTAAGAAAGATAGAATTTTATTAAGTATTTATAATGAATATTTTTGTATTTGTTAAGAAATCATTTAATATTAAGAATGAATTTCTTTGATTTAAGAATTATAGATTATACTATAATATTCTAGATTGGCTGCTATGTTGAGACAATTAGCTCAATTCCATGCAAAGGATCCAAACAATTTATTCATGGTTAGAATTGCACAAGGTCTTACTCATCTTGGCAAAGGAACTTTAACATTATCACCTTTCCATAGTGATAAGCAATTGATGAGTCCTGTAGCACTTTCTGGATTACTAGCTTGTCTAGTTGGATTTTTGGATGTCAAAAATAGTAAGTAATAAACAATTATTTTCAAAAAATCACCTGAGGGTGCAGTTTGTTTAGTAAATAATGTAATCAAATAAATCTTATTCTTTTAGTTATTTTGGGGCGCTCTCATTACTTATTATATGCATTGGCTACTGCAATGCAACCTCGAATGTTAGTCACATTTGATGAAGACTTAAATAGTTTGGCAGTTCCTGTTCGTGTAGGAATGGTATGATCTATTTTTATAGATTTGTTTATAAATTATAATAATATATTTCTTGATTCAAAGTTGACTCTCTTATATTTGTATATTTCAGGCTGTTGATGTAGTTGGACAGGCTGGAAAACCGAAAACGATAACAGGTTTCCAAACTCATACAACACCAGTTTTGTTATCATTAGGTGAAAGAGCAGAATTGGCCACTGATGAATATTTGCCTCTGACACCAATTATGGAAGGATTTGTTGTTTTGCGGAAAAATCCTGATTTTCAGCCTTAGTTTTAGTTTTAGTATAATCAAAAATGTTGTCTAAGCGTGTACTTTTAAATAAAATTTATATATATAATATAAAGCATGTGTATATAATTATTGTTTACTACTTCATTATTTCTTTCCAGAAAATCAAAATATTCATAATCGCAAAGTCTTTGTGATTATGTATAATTAATACAATATGAATTCATAAGGAATCATCAAAAAAAATTCTATGTGATACAACAATCTTGCTCCTATTAATAAACCTATTTCAAGAGCATATCGTTAAGATTAAAATTAAAAATAATTAATGGACTCACATACATAATACAAGTAATATATTTGAAAAAAAAAAATTTGATTGTACCGAAAAATTTCCAAATTGATCGATCCATAAAACCGCTGATATCATCATAGGAAATGATGGAATAGGATTTATTTCAAACAAGTACAAAAGCTGTTTGGAGAAAATCACCTAAATTCTATAGCCAGAGAACACTGCAGAACACTACCAGCCTTATGACCAGGACCACCAGGTTTGAACAAAGTTCATTCTACATTAATTTCTCAATCTTAAAATTATTGTCAATGCGTATTAAATGACTTTGAATTAATAAACCCTATTTTATTAACTAACAGATGAAATAATTTTTATTTTATATTCATTTATACTTATTTGTAATTCATTGTGAATGGTTTGCTACCACTGGTTCGATCTAATTTTTGAACCATTCACGATATTTATTTAAGCTACAAACCTCGCCTATAAATTAAAAATACGCCCAGATAGCATGTGTTTATAACCACGTTTTCAATGAAGCTTACTAATTCTTTATTATTATTTTAGATTTTTGAAATACAGTAAAAGACATTTATTTGCAGATGATATGTTTCCAAAATATGCTGCAAATACAGGAACTGAGAATAATTCTACTTTATATAGAATACGATGGTGATAAAACTAGTGGAGTGCATGGCATATCGTGCCTTAAGGCAAATTGCTGGCAACTTCCCGTACCGTAATTAAAAATTGTGACACGGAACCCTCAAAAAAAATTACACAAAATGTGTACACATTATTAAAATCTCTACAAAATGTCTGATAATTTGATGTATACATATGTCCAATAAACATTTTTGACTGTCAAATGACATTTTTTTAACTTATTTTCATTGAGAGTCCATAACCGCTGGACCTGTCTTCCACGAAATTAATCAGTACCTCATTTTGTCAATACAAGTAAAATGTTTTTTGAATTGTTAAAATCGGACCTTCCATTCTCTTCAAAACAGAGTTACCGTTTTTGGCATTTTTTGCCCCGTATCTTCGGAACAGCTAGACCTGCCATCGCCAAAATCTAATGAGCATGTCTCCTTATCAATATAAATCGAATGTTTTTTGAATTATCCAAATCGGTTGATCAGTCTTCTCGAAATCGTCGACGAAAATTTGTATCCGCACACACACACCCACACACATAAATCCATTTTTTCTAAGATATGCCAAAATGTTCAAAAACCTTTGAAACGTAAAGATATACTCATTTACCATTCTTAAATCATTACTATAAATTTTCTAATTAAATATCACGTTCTCAATGATTATTGAAGTCTCTTGTCCAATATATGCCTATAGACTGTGAATGTAATATTTACAAGCCGATTTGAGAAACCTATAGGATTTTCCAAATCCTCAGTCACTGATTTTCAGTCTTCGGCGATATCATTTAACAACATACTTTTGGTACAGTTGTATTAAGATTTACTTTACTTTTCATCACAAGTTAACAGCACTTACAAAAGATATTGGATCGGATACCCATTGGAATCCTCTTATAATTACATGTGCATCAAATTGATTCTTATTAGAATATAGGATTTGTGTCTGATTTTTTTAAATCCGCGAATAGTAAAATACCTATTATGAATCCGCTAATTACATTTTACAGATGTAGATATAAATTATTGATTCATATGTATTTCATAGATAAGATGATTTACTAATAGACATCAAATCAAATCCGTGATACTCATTACAAATAGCGCCCACGACCATCCGCCCATGTGCTTCTTGGTGGTGTCATGGTCAGCATAGCGCAAAAGACCACGCTGTTCTATTTCATATTTTTATTTATTCAATGGCATATCTTTGAATAGTTTTATAATGTATGTAACTAGTAGTACTTATACATTATCGAATATTCAGACACAATTGTGTCAGATCAGCAATGCCAATTAAGATTGCATGATAAATGGGAAACGTTTTTGAATGTACTTGACAAATCCTTATATTTCTTAAGAGATTGTTTTAAATATTATTGATCTCGCCTTGTACTACTTGATATCAAGAAATCTAGATATCAGTTTTCACTTTAAAATATAGATTTACATATAATTCCAAATAATAATAAGGCATTGCAAGATTGCAAGATATATATCACACCACTAATATTTATTTCATCACGAGGAGGATGAGGTGGCCTTTTAATATAAAAATACGTGATTATGGAATTATATCAAAACAGCTCCTAGAAAATATAATAGTTCAATAAAAGAAAGATATAATTTTATAATAATGAATGATTTGCAAGTGCTTTCAGTTTCTCTAGGACACATAGTTTTAAAAACTTTCCATAGAGTAAGTTATGGTAATGGCCCATACTAATGGGCCGATAATCGAAAATGCAAATTTTTGCATATCTTCACGTTTCACAGGTTTCTGAACATTTTGGCATATATCAGGAAAAATGAATGTGTGTGTGTGTTTTGTGTCCGCATTTTTTCGTCCACGTTTTCGGGCGCACGGATCAACCGATTTGAATCGTTCAAAAACATTCGATTCCTATTGGGAGAAGGCAGATCCAGCCGTTTCGAAGATTGCAGAGAATGCAGAAAATAGAAATCAAGTTTTTGAGAGAACGGAGGATCCGATTTAAATGATCCAAAAAGCCGTTTTTGAGATACCGAGCTAAATGTGCAAAAATGGCAGTTTTTGAGATATCTAACATACGAACATCCGATTTAAATAATTCAAAAAACTTTCTGCTTGTATTGAAAAAATAATTGCTTTTGGAAAAAAAAATATTTCAAAATTTTTTTCATTTTTTTTATATCATTTTGTTTGTATTTTGTATAAAATAATTCAGATCATTCAGATTTCAATTTTAATTCTGGCTAAGATTTAAAGCTCTCTTATATACTTTAAATAAATAATTTTAACTTTGTAATTCAGTTTATATAATTCTTCTATAACAAACTAGGTCTTTTGTCTGGTTATGCTGGACTCAATAAATATTGCCAACTAAAACCTCCACTTATCTCTTGCCTGTTGCCTCCATAGAAACACCGTATTATTTCATGGGGGGAGACTCTAGAATTTTATAATTCCTACTTATAATTAAACTTTCGACCTAATTGGTTCATTTGCTCTTCTTTTTTCCTATTGTGACGCACATAGTGTTTGTTCACATACATTTTTGGAACACAGAGTACAATGAATTGTGTTAAATGAATTAAACTTAATTAATACAATTTCTGGTATTATAAGTTAGTTTGTAGGATATCAATTGGAAATCATAGTATTGTAAAAGTAATGATTCGTTTTTAGTAAAACCAAAATAAATAGTTGAAAATTTTATCTGAATATAATTGAATGATTATTTTCTTTAAGACGAAAGGTCACTTAACCTCGTTCTGTAATATTTTTTGTAAAAGTAACTTTATTTTTTATTACCAGTATTTTTTATAAGTAGCATGCCTTCGCCATCTCAAACAACATTCGTAGTTAAATTATTTATGCGCATGCCTTTGTGAGGCATTTAGCTTTACTCAAAATGTGCAGAGTAATGGGGTAATAAGAAGTCTTAGCAAGAAATTAATTAAGACTAGCTAATTACAGCAATAAATATAGTTGAGGAACGTTTGAAGTTAATAATAATAATAATATAGCATACATATGTACGAGGCACTTGTAAAGTCATTAAAATTACCTCCGAGCATCAGAAGTTGCTTAGGTAATTCCTGCATTATGAAGCGCCGGCCACATGCCGGGATGGAAATAAATTTTAAATGTGAAGTTTTTAATACTTGCCGATATAGAGCTGTTTTTATTTTTATGTACGTCGTACTGTGAAAATTATAATTTTATTAAGCAATGCAGAATACTTTGTATTAACTGATCCAAGACTCCTGAACATTTTTAGACGACTAGACGATGGAGAGAAATACTATGAAAACTGTCTATATTAATAATTGTAATAAATTATTAGCCACTTTAAAAATATTTCTCATTTCGATCGCATAAAACACGGGTATACAAAGTGGAAGCTGATATAAAATAAAACATTCTTATAAAATCTGCTAAAGCCTTCTGAACTTTTTAGAAAAATTCATGCTTTGACATGATTTACTTGCACTTTTTTTTAATCTAGTGAGATTTATAATATTCATATTGGATTCAAACTAAAGGTAGTTCTCTATTCAGTTACAAAACATAAATTTATGCCAATTTGGAAAAAACTGATAACCAAAAAAATATTATATATGAAAATTATCATTATATAAAACTTTTTTAATAATTGTGATATGAAAAGGAATGGTTCAAATAATATTCATAATATAAAAAATAAAGTGTATAGCATCGTGTCTTAATGCAAATTGCTGAAACTTCCCGTATCGTAACGAAATATTCGAGAAATATTAAATGTTTTCAAATATGTAAATAGTTAGAATATTTTTTTTAAATTAAACTTTTTTTCCCCAAAATCAATCGGTTTGTCAACACGAGTAGAAAGTTTTTTAAATCATTCAAATCGGATGCTTAGTTCTCTCAAAAACTGCCATCTCAATATCTATTTTTTATATTTCTATATGTATGATCCGCGAGCTGTTGTATGCCAACTGCTCTCTTTTTCATTATAAAACCTTATACTCATGACCTTTTCAATGTGTCAGCATCTTTGAACATCATGGCGTATTTAGTACATTAAATTAAATGGTGTATTTAGTACATTATATTAAAAACTTAAATACGTTTTTCTCAAATTGACTTTTTCAATG